GACTCTTTGTGTCTCTCGCTTTTTGCATTTAAGGTGCCGCCCGAAGAGTCACGTGGGTGGATTTAAGAGATGTTGGGGGTGTTCATTTTGCTATATTGACCGATTTATTAGGAATTTCTAGACGCGCCCATGAGTCATCCGCCCAGATAAAAAGATACTTAAGCTAAAATACCCATAAACACGCCCGTTAACAGCGTCAGTCGCGGTGCGGTGCGGTGCGGTGCGGTGTGCAGTGGCCTACCAACACGCTTAATTAGTGCAAAGTGCACGTGCCGCGCCCCGGCTCCTAACAGTACCCTTATCGTTTACCTAGGCAAATGGCTTTCATGCCACTGCAGTGAGTCACAAAGCAGCAGCAGCAGCAGCAGCAGCCACAACAATCACTGTTGCATAACGAAGACCCACAACTGGCGGCTAACTAGCTACTTAATGCTCCATTGGCGTCACATTATCAGCTCCGTTAGCATCCATTTCCAATGCAATTAATGCTGCTGTGCTGCTCCTCTCCGATGCAGCGGCGATCGGCGATCGGCGTGCGGCTCCGTCTCCGGCTATGGCTCCGGCGTCCGGTTACCAGCAACAAACAGTTGATCCGTTTTCCATTTACCGGTTCGGTTTGGATCGGATTGGTCTCGGTCTCGTCTCTGTGTCCGGCCGTCCCATCTGTCCGTTGCCAATTGCCACTGTGTTATGGTTATGGTCAACGACGCGGCTGGCCAAACAACTTTTCAATTTCAGCAAAATGTTCACACAGTTTTCATTTTGCATTCACTGTCTCTGTCTCTATCACTCTCTACCTCTTTCTGTTCGTGTTTTTCCATAAGTTTACACGATTTATGATAAGTTTATTTTTAAATGTTAAACAAGCTGCCAACAATGCAGTGCAAAGTTCTAGCTCTAGCTTCGCGCAGTGGAGGCGTGGCCATCCACAGACTCAACTCCCCAGTGACCCAAGCTCTCTGATCCGGGCTAATGAGCTCGACCTCTGGCCTTTGTTTTCCCTACGGCTCTTGGCAGACACATTAGCCACGCTCCAATTATTGCAACGATCGGTGGCAGTTGGCAAATTAGAACGGCGGCAAGGTGATTCAATTTGCTTAAAGCCAAAGACAGACCCAGACCCAGAGCCAGAGCCAGAGTCATAGCCATAGCCATACTCCAGTTCCAGTTGCAAGCTCTGGCTGGCAGACTCTCGGAGGTCAGCAGGAAAATATGAAAAAAATGCATTGGCCATTAATAAGTTTATTGGCGGCTCGGCTCTCATAAAACCCCAGAAACACAGTAACACGTACAGAACAAATAATAACAACAACAACCAGGGACTGGCGACAAGATTAAACCTGTTCTGCGACAAGTGCGCCTTGGGTACGCGACTGTCCATGTCCATTACAGTTAGAGACATGGCCACAGAATGCACTCGACCAGGGCACAGTGGGTCACATTTTTGTATGAAAAGTGGGACCCACATTTGGAATAGAAATACGATAGCTCTCTTAGAAATGTTCGATGCTTGTTAATGAGAACAAACGGAGGGAAGAGAAGAAAGAGGAGTAATCTAGGAAGATTCAGACTTAGGTGCCCTTCTTACTGTCTTCCTCTCTCAATTGGTAAATAAGCAAGAAAAACAGAGAGCGTAAGCAAGTAAGTTGAAATAAACAGAGTTTAATCATCTGCTGTAATCTCTTCACTCTTTACTCTTTACTCTTTACTCTCGACTCTCCACTCTCCACTCCCCTTTGACACTCATCTCCCCACTCTCAGAAAACACTTGTAAAACTCTAAATACATTCCAGAAATTCTTTGTTCCACTGTGCCATCTGCAACAGTTGTTTTTTGCCTGGAACCTTTTTTGTGGGCCCGGTTTTGGTCTGTGGTTTGTGTTGCCTTTTTACTGCTGTTTTATGTATTTTTCCACGTTTTTTTTTTTTGTTTTTGCCAATTGCTCATTGATGTCTGTTTGCTTTTGGTTTTAGTTTCGGCTCTGGCACCGTTACACGCTTGCACTCTCCCGCTGTAAAGTTCAAAGGTGCCCGGAGTCTGTGGGGATTGCTGTGCTATGTTTTTGTTTGTGTGTCGTGAGAACCAATCGTTGGATTTGGCTACCTGTGCAGATGGTCAGTCCTTAGAAATATTTGAAACTCACTTTAGCTGCCATTTGTGGATGCGCGAGTGGTGTCCGCTCAGTTGTCCGCCAAGTGCAGGGGCCTGTCCGTGCACACGCATTTAGTGCGGACAGCTAGTCATTTGTTTACTCTCCACCTCTTTCTCTATCCCTCTCTCACGCTCTCGGCCTAAGCCGAGCTTTCGCGCCGCTCTATGAAAGCGTCGGAGCGAGACGACAATAGGTACTCCCCGAGAGCCGAAAAAAGAAGACTCCACAACGTTGCTTTACATAAACTTTACCGATTTCTGCGGCACAGATACAAAAACGAGTACAGATGCACTGCAATGACAATGCTGGCTGTAATTAATTTCGCTTCAGGCCAAATAATAACAAATTTCGCATTTCATTTCGCTTCGTTTCATTCACAGCGAAATCGGGCTGGCTTATTTATGCATTTGACCCGCTTTGTGGCTTTGACAAAAACAACCGAAACAAACCGAAACGAGTTGCAACAATACGATTCGAAAAACACGGCTGCTGTCGCGCTGTTGTTTTCTTGGAATTTCGATTCTACGCAAAAAAAAAACTTGTTGCCTGTTTTGTTTATGATTTTTCTTTTGCACTTGCTTTCGGTTGATATTCTGGCACGCACACATAAACAACCACCATCAACACACACAAACACACTGATACGCACGGACCAGGCCCAGCTCTTGGCTAAAATATTTTCGTGAATTTCGTGAAATTATTCGGTTGCGCCCGCGCTCTTTCAGAACCTACGAAATTTGTTGGTTTCTCTCTCACGGCGGAAATATCTATGTACAACATATATAGATATTTTCGTATTCAACGGAACTACTTTTCTGAATTCGGAGCAAAATTCGGCACTATTTCTGTTGTTACTTGTCCGCGGCCCGCTAAAAGATTGAGTTCCACAGTGCTTCCATTATTCCCACTGTACCACCCGACGGATACGTCATGTTAAGCATGTTGCTGTTAATCCGTACTCATGTTGCTAGGAAACCGGTTTCTAGTCCAAACTACTGTTGTGAGTATAGAAGTTTCGATACCCTGTTGCTCGAATTAATGTTAAAATTCTCTGCTCCAAGCTGATTATCAATAATTGGCATTAAAAGCTTACTTCATCAATAGGTCTTTATCAGTTTGATTGGTTTTTTTTTTTTTCTTTGTTTATTCAGTTTCGTTGTGATAGCTTTCAAGCTGGGAGACAGACAGATGAATAGACATCTTATGAGGCCCGAAACTTTTGTGCGTTACGAACAACTCACAATCTTAATAATATCCTTTGTTTTCTAGGGTATTCAAATGTTGCTCACAGATGCGTGAATGTTGCTAAGAGCAAAGTAACACACTCTTAAAGCTCTTTTGATATGATCGATCATTAGTGTTGAGTAACGGTGATCACTGGGCTTTCGGGGAAGCGGTCTCTAGCGGAATTCATTGGAAACGAAAAGCTAAGCTTTTAGCAGTTACAAATTGAATTTAAATTTAATTAAAAGTCCTAACTAACAGGTCACTGTCTGGCTGCTGCACATGCAGCAAAGCTAGGCATCACCAACAGAGACAGTTGCAGGAAATGTGAGGAACCTGGGGCTATCGAAACCCTGGAACATCTCATCTGCAACTGTCCGGCTCTCTCAAGGGCAAGGAGGAGATACCTGGGCGCCCCAGTGTTGGCATCACTTTTTAGAACCACATTAACACTCCCGCGACGGTTCATACACCGCCCCCCCCATCCGGATAACTAAGGGCCATATTGGCCTATGCGCGGCCCCGCTGAGGGCCGTCCGGGTTAACCTAACCTAACCTTAATTAAAAGTCCAACCCAATCATTTCAAATTAATATGATGGTATTCAAAAATAACCTACATATACTACATATATAAATATTATAAAATAAATGCATATGTTGTAGGAGAAAATTGTATTAAGCATCTAAGATGCAAGGTGCAGGCAGCATATCAAGTATTTATGTACCTAGTACATTATATGGTCATTCGATTTTAGTTCTTTGCAGCTAATTTATAGATGTACATACAACATACATATCAGGCATGAATCTGTATATGGCATTTTATATGGCGATTCTCTTGCAGCTTTTTGATATATGTACATATGTACATACATACATATGTACATACATATGTAGTTATCTGATCTTGGCGATTTTGATCTATATTAGTCTTACTTTTTACTACTTATTAGTATATACTAAGAAGAAAATAAGGGATGTTAATAATTTCATCCCGATGGTTTTAAAACAGTGAGACTATTTTAAATAAAAGCAAAGAGAACAAAAATATCAATGAACTGTAAATAATGAAGCCCTTCGCAGATCATAGCGCCGCTCATAGAACCATCAAGTCGCCGGCTTGTGAAGACAAAGAAAGGGAAACCCCAAAAAACATGCATATTTTCATACAGTACAATACTTACCAATACCACACACATACCACACATACAAATCAAGCTCAAAACGCACAGCAGAATCGCACAAAAACAAAAACAAAAAAATCAAAAAAGGCGAGAGAAGGGTACACAAATCAGAAGGTATGATCATAATACGATGCTGGCATGTCAAGCGGTGCTATGCGGTTCAAATACATACATACATATGCATGAAGGGCACTGACTCGAGTGACCATACCTTGTTATGAGTGTACCCTGGACAAGAGCAAACAAAAATGTGCACACATTCTCATTCGTTCTCATCCAATTCGTTAGTTCGGGGAAGCACACATCGACAAGCCGGCCACTGGACCAAGTTTATTCTGACGCCGCTTTCTGGTGAAAAGGAAATAAAGTGAGTTTATGAAACATAAATAACACAATTATAGATACTATCCATTCCATACACAGAAATCTAGAAACGAAAATGTGCACCCAGGTAAACGAAGCATCTTTCCCCGGTACCACGAAGGGTACCAATACCGACGACATCGATGTGGTCGATCGCGTGGAGCTGGACATGGGCCGCCTCTGCATGAACGACCTCTATTCGGACGTGGAGTTTTTGGTAGAGGACCATCGGCTCCCGGCCCACCGAAACATTCTAGCGGTCCGCAGTGAGTACTTCAGCGCCATGCTGTACGGTGACATGGCTGAATCGAAGCAGCGGGAAATTCGGCTGAATGTGCCGGTGGATGCATTTAAAAAAATTCTGGGCTATATTTACACGGGCACGCTGCCTCTTTCCAAACTGGACGTGGATCAAATTCTAGATCTGCTAAATTTGGTCCACTTTTTCGGATTGCAGAACGTCGAGGCGGCCATAGAGAAAAATCTGCAGCAGAATGCTTCCCTCAGCAACATCTGCAAGATCCTGAATGCAGCGCACCGATACAGTATGAACGGCCTGCGCAAAAACTGCCTAAACTTTATGGACTGCAAGGCGTCGGATGTGCTACAGCATGCATCCTTCGCAATGCTGTGTAAGGAATCACTTGAGGAAGTCCTGGAACGGGACACCTTCTATGCCCCCGAAGTTGAAATTTTTCAAGCTGTATGCAAATGGAGGGCCCTCTTTCCGAGCGAGGACATCAAGACCGTGATCTCGCACATACGTCTCCCTCTAATGTCTTTTCAAGAGCTGCTACGTGTGGTGCGTCCCACTGGCATTTTCGACCTGGACCAAATAATGGACGCCATGGATCAAATAGAGGCTAGAGAGAATCTGCCACACCGGAGCGTCGTGTTGCGGGGGGAGAATGTGTACAAAGTTATAAGAAATTGTCAGTCTGATTATACGATTTTCAAAATCAGCAAGGTGTCCTTAATCAACTGTATTAGTCTGACTGTTTCTGTTGGAGGGAAATGGGCAGTACATTTCTCACACAACATGGAGCACATGTATTCTGTGGGAACCTATGATATGAAACCCAACGTCAGAAGGGATATTAATATTGAGAAGGCTTTCGCTCGCTACATTATTGTCCAGACATTTAATCAAAACAAGATTGATGCTGAGGTCATTGTCAAGTATAAGTAGCCCCATGACTGCAATAGTAGCTACTCCAGCAGAGAGGATCCCAGTTCTGTCTTCCCTTTAAATATACTACATTTCTTATTATCCCTCAATTCAAGTTGCTGTAGTCGTATGAAGTACAATGGAGTTTAATTTACCGACAGAAAAGGAAACTCAGCATAAATACAATAAGGTCAATAGGTATAAAATAACTAACTAGATTTTTAAAGTTTTTTCTCCTATTTTTGGTACCATATGGGCGTGCTACGCCTTCATGTGAACGGAATAATCTCCTTGACGCGTAAAATTTCGAAGGTGCGATCAAAATGAATTTTTTTTTTTTTCTTAAAATGAGTACTGTAACTACATATGTATAATACTTATCCTTATTTACGATAGCCCACTTCCGGCCTATTCATTTTCCCTTCCTTTTGCTTTGCGTGCTCTCGTCGCTATGCTGAAACTCGAAAGGCTCGAAATATTGGTTTACAGCTGAAAACCTGATGGCCTCCGACCTTAAAGACAGCACTAAAATAAAATACATTATATAAATCCAATTAAAAGTATATATTTTAAGAGCGTACAAAATGTACAAGTTAACCTACGGAATCCTGTAATCTGTAATTAAGAAACGCATTCAAATGAATTGAATCCATACTTGCGCAAATGTTCCACAAAGTCTTAAAATAAACCATGATCCCCATGATTTTAAGAGGCACCCTCTTAAGAAACCACTCAAAAATCTACCGTTTGATTAAAGCTTTTGATTAATGGAAGGGCCCCGCGCGATCCCATAGCCAAAAAGAGAGAGAGACAGAGCAAGGCAAGGGTATGATGTGCGTGTGCCGAAGTCGAATTCGACATTCGGCAACGAAAGTTGAGACGAGCGCGTAAGGGAGTCTCAGTCTCAGTCTCAGTCTCTCTCTCTCTCTCTCTCTCTCTGTTTGTCGCTCTGTCTGCACCTTTTGTTGATCTTGAGATGGAATTCGAAATACCAAATTGTTGATTTATCTCTCGGGTCTCCAGATCTCGGGGGCTGGCTGCTGCGACTGCGCGTCGGCTGCGCAGTCCACTCACAATTGACCAGCGGGCGACCAAGTTTATAAAACTTTGAGCCAAAATGCAGCCTCGCACAGTTGATTCCAAAACGCCCGTTGCACGCGTTGTTGTCGTCTGCCCGATGGCCCTCATCGAAATTTAAGCGAAAATGAAATTCGGTTAACGTCAACGAAAAACGAGTTGCAGGGCCACAAAAAGAAGAAGCAAAAGCCAGAAGAAACAGAAGCGGAGAAAGAGGCAAAGACACAGAGGCAGAGGCAAAAGAGCTAATCTGTTGTGCAGTGCGTTTTATCAACAGCAACAGAAACGAAAACGAAAGTCGAAACACGCGGATCTCTGCTCTCGTAATGTCTCAATAAAAAAAAATAAAAATCATCTCAACTACAGCCGGAATGTAGGGAAAAAGTGAAAATAAATCAGAGACACAAAGTGCTCTTAAGAGATACCCAAACCCACAAGCAACAAAAATAATCAAATACTGTACAAAAAGTAAGTGTCTTGAGTGCCGGAGGTTCTAATACGAAACAGTGCTCTGTGCAAATACAACATGTTAATTGATGGATTCTATTGGAAGGCAGCATCTCCACCAGACTCTCCCCCTTAAACACCTCTCTCTCGCTCGCTCTATCTCTCTCTCTCTCTCTCTCTCTCTCTCTCTCTAGTTTGCTACACTCTTCACAAACCATTTCGTTATGTAAAATGCAGATCAAACATATTTCGAAATACCCCCCGTCCCAACAACTAGACAAAGTCCATCGATGGGCGTCTCAGATTATGCAAAACCCGACTTAAAAGAGCGCCTCTGAGGAAAGCGCTAACTATGCAAATTCGTTCAAAAGATCCCAATTGAAACCGTAACCGAATACCGTACCCGTACCCATACCCATTCCCGTGTACGTGGTCCGGGGCCAAAGCCGGACCTCTGCTCTGTTCGCATAATTCTTGAACCGTATTTTTTTTGATTACGCGCATTATTTAGTCATAATAATAAACAATAAGCATTTGGGCATTATTACGTACTTGTAAGAGTGTGAATGAATGAGTGTAAGAGTGAGTGAGTGAGTGCGTCTGTCAAAGCCAAAATTGAACGAGAAACAAAGAAAAGTCGAAGACTTTGATACCCTAAAAGAAACATTATTGATTCGAGATCTCACCCTTTTTCTTTGATAAGAGATGCTTTGGTTTGAATGTCTTTAGAAACCAGAGATTATCAACTCTCAATGACTTGATTTTCAAAAGACTATTCTTATGATGTACGTATGATGTACTGTGCTCCGATATTGCCATGCTCCTTCGAATTACAAGCTTCTTCCAGATCAGTGCGTAGAATCGGGTGTAAGGACTGCATTTTCTAGACAGTTGTGCTCCGTAAAGTCCCAAATGCCGTCTTCTCTGCCTTAGCATAATTCCAACCATACCCTCCCGCAAAGGGTATACACAACGAAAGGCCAGCAACAACACGCTACAGATTGTGTGTGGTCAGGCGGCGGCGGCGTCGGCGGCGCTGTCCAAATAAATGGAACTGCCTCTGCCAGAGCACGCGCTGCGTCGCTGCTTGTGCTCCCTTTTACACATGCGCGCAGGCGCTGTGTTCCACTCACTCAATCATAACCACTCAAAGGCAAACAACTCAAACGGCACGGCGTCGCTGGGCGACCAATCAATTGAACCTTAGTCCCGTGCCCGGGGTCTCTCTCGGGTCTCGGGCCTCTGTCAGTCCCGTCGCACTGCCAGGCGGAATTGGGTTGAGTTTTGTTTATCTTCTTTTGTGGCATTTCGAAAAAAACAGAAAAAAAAAAACTTTTACTCTGCTGGGAGCCAATATACAATAACAATAAAATGCAAAATTATTAACGCATGTGTTAAATGTTAATTATTGCATAAGCAGCCATGTCTCGCTCCCTCTCTTTCTTTGACTCTTTGGTTAGCGCCAGCAGCAGATGTGTGTAACCCCGAAACGGGGTTTACGACTATTTAACCGGTAAACGAACCTCCAGGCGGTATGCGTAATATTCTATGAAAACAGAGGTGTGAAGGCCTAATAGGCGTATGCGTAATATTCTAAGGCAACAGAGGAGTGGAACGATATAGCGAAGAGGAGGAGAGAGGGAGCGGAAGGGCACAGAGACGGAGAAACAGAGAGAGTGAGAGAGAGAGAGAGAGGAAAGGTAGAGGTGCAATGTGTGTCAGTGGGAAAATACTACCACGAAAACGTGCTTACCGCTTTTGAATGGCTTTTTTTTAACGAAAGTTTCCCCCCCAAAAAATATTCAATTGGCAAATCAATTAACAAATATCAATAACCGTTAGCCCCTCAGAGGGAGGACGGGGTGAGAGGTGAAGTGAAGTGAAGTGACCTTCAAATAGCAATCAAATAGCCAAATAAACAAACGTGCCCCAAATATCAGCCAAAACCAACCAAAAAGCATCAAATAAGCCAAGTAATAACCCAAGGTAAAAAACCTACAATAAGTACCATAGCAGCAGAGCAAATCATGGAGATCAGGCGGCGCACCTCTTTGCCATGGCTGGCACTGATGCTCTTGCTCTGCCTGTGTCTTGGAACAGGCACTGCCAAGGGCGACATCAGCAATCAGAGCTCAACACAAAATACACATTGGCAACAGCAGCAGCAACAGCAGCAGCAGCAGCAACAGCAGCAGCAGCAGCAACAGCAGAGATATCAAAGTCATCTGAATGAATCTCATGCTGTGCCAGAGAAACCCCCACCAACGATATCGATTGTGAGCTCTCCCCATGAGATGCATTTGACACGCACCTCCCTCATCTTTGGACTAACCAAGGTGCCCGCCAACGAGAGCCAAGTGAGTGCCAGATGCCAGGGACAGCTGCGTCAGGTGCAGCGAGGGATACTCACCAAACAGCCGTGGGCCATGAAAGGTGAGTGTAATGAGGGAGACATATGAGTTTCCTTGTATAATATTGTCCAAGAACAAAAAATAAAGAACTTTTTCTAGCATAATTTAGATTAGATTCCTTGGAAAACCATGATTTTTCCCTTAAGATTGGGTTTCCTATCTGTACTTGTGTAAAGACAAGGTTTAAAAGGGTGACACTTTTATGATCTACAATCACTGTATTAGCATTAACTATAATTGGCAAATCTGTGACCTCTAGTTTTCCCATAAATCAAAACTTGATCCCCTTGTATTGCAGTTCTCGATGCTTCTGGAACGAAACCCTCTGGCTTTGTGTACGGCCAGAACTACTGGCTGGGCAGTCGTGAGGCCTGTAGCGGGGTGCAACGACCTGTGGGCATTACCCTCTCGAAGAACTTCGAACGGGTGATGCACTATGGGATCATCACGCAGCAGGCGCCCTTCGATATGGACTACCGCGTGATTTACCTGAGTCACAGCTCGCCCTGGCAGGTGGAGATCAAACTGATGTCCGAGCAGATCATCCACATTGGACTGTGCCTGCCCAGGGCATGCAGCTCGCAGGAGGTGAAGTATCTGGCCCAGGAGTACGTGACCGGAGGGATGTTTACCGAGAGCGAAATCTTCGACATTCGCCCACAGGTGGTGTACATGAAGGATCTGCAGCTGAAGGAGGTGTTTTTTGAGCGCCCCAGTTTTCGCTTGCTGGTGGCCTGTGTCCTGGCCACAGGCGCATTGATGCTATGCGCCCAGCAGCTGACGGCCGCCATAAAGGCGCCTCCGTCGACTGTCGATGATACTGGGCTCCTGGCGCCGGCAGAGTCCGAAGTGTGGCGGGCACTCCACTCGCTGCTGCAGTGGCGGCGACTGCAGAAGTTTGTCGAGTGCTTCGATGTACCCACAAACTGGGCCAAAATCTTCGCGGTGCGGGAGAACAGCCCCAATGAGATACCGCTGATGAACGGGCTGCGGTCGGTGTGCGCCATCTGGATCATGGTCTTCCATGTCGTGTGGTTCATGTACTTTACGGTCCACAACAAGACCGTTCTTGTATCGTACGCGGAGCAGGCCTTCTTCCAATACGTGTCTTCAGCCCCACTGCTGGTGGATGTCTTCTTTACCATCAGGTGAGGTCCTACATCCTATAGAGACTGTTAATTCTAAAATTCTGATTCATTTCCCGTTTTAGTGGCTTCCTGCAAACCTTTAACTTTCTGCGCAACTCCCAGCAGATTGAGACGGTGCGTCATAATAGCCTGCGGCAGAATCTGAAGCTCTTTGGCAAGCTACTGTTCCATCGCTACCTGCGTCTGGGACCGCTCTATCTGGTGGTAATGGCCACCGTGGATCTGGTGTACGCCTACATTGGAGATGTCTCCATTTACCACATCAACGAGCGCTTCGATGAGATGTGCTCCAGGCACTGGTGGCGGAATCTTCTGTTTATCCAGAACCTCTTCGATCACAGGGATATGTGCGCCAACTGGAGCTGGTCCCTAGCCTGCGAGATGCAGTTCTTCATCCTGGCCAATGGATTGCTATTCCTTTATGTGAAGTAAGTGATCACCCGAAGTTCCTTTTTGACTAAATGAGTCGTTATAAATTCTCTATGGCAGGCATCCCAAGGTAACCAAGGCTCTGGTAGCCTCCGCCCTTGTCTCGACCATTGTGTGGTCGTATGGCATCGGCTTAAGCATCAAGTTTCAGCTCTCCTTCGATGCAGCCTTTGCCACTGGCACAGAGATCTACACCTCGCCCTTTGTGCGGGTCCTCCCATACATTTTGGGCGCCATCACAGCCTGGTGCCTGATGGAGCGATGCCTTCAGGTGGAGTTGAGCGAGTCCCGCGAGCGTTTGTACTGGCATTTCGCGCTCCTGGTCTTCTTCGGGTGCATTTACTCGACGGTGAGGCGGGATCTGGGCCCCCTGATGGCCATCACGCTGTTTGTCATGGGCCGCCTGTTCTTCTCGCTGAGCGTCTGTTGGATGATAGCGGGCAGTGCCGGTGGTCGAGGCGTTTGGTGGTCACGTCTGCTGGAGGCTAAGGGCTTCCAGCATGTCAGTAGGCTGTCGTACGCCATTTACCTGCTCAATCCATTGGTCATAGCCCTCTTCTACAGTCTCACTAGCTCCAGCACGCATGCGGATCCCTTTATGCTGGTAAGTGTTAAATCCAATTCTTTAATAAATTGTCCATAATTTCCTATCAATGATATCGTTTCTAGTGCGTTGTCACCTGTGGCTTTGCTGTCATCTGCTACCTGGCTTCGATTCTCTTTTCGCTGGCCTTCGAGCTGCCGTATAGTAATCTCTCCAGCCTCCTGCTGCGCCGAGACAGAACCAGCAGCAGCAGCAAGCCGAAGAACGCCTAATAGAAGCTAGCCCTTAAGTTAGATCGTTAAGGTCAACGTACACGCCTCCAACATCTGACAATTGTGATCGCTTTCATGTACAACTAAACTACTCATCATTATCGAAACCTTAGTCTTAGTCTCTTGTCTTAGTTTTTTTTTTTTGTATAGTATTTATACCATATAGGTACTATAAATATATCGTTCATCGTACGGCGTGCATGGGTGGCCACCATACTTAATAAATATTGTACGATTACTAACGCATTAGTTTTATAATACATCCAGAACGTTATACGTATTATATCAACATCTAAAAATACAATATATTATATGATATCAGGTATACATATCTTAAGGTATACTTAAGTTTTTCCACTGGCAGTGACAGCAGCCACAACTCCTCTCTTGAGTCTTGGAAGTTGATTGAACGCAGCTGCAGCAGATTTGTGCGCACTTCTTTGATTGAGTATGAGGTTCAATACGGCGTCCGCCTTAATGCAATTGACCTCCACGAAGATCTTGAGAAAGAAGCTCCTGCAAAAATCATGTTATTAACGTTCGAGTTTGCATGGCTTTCCCTTACTGTACGTGGCTCCTTACGGTGTTAAGGTGTCATCATAGAAGCTACTTTCATCCTTATAGATCATGCTAAAGTCCCTCATGCCACTGTTCTCTTCTTTGATGGCGGCTGAAGAAAGAATATTAAGAATATAGGACAAATTTGAAGAAGCTTCAATGTAAATATGTTATTACCAACGCAGCGACGGCAGCGGAAAACCAGATGGATAGTCAAACAGCGAAGAAAAAGACTGTGGGCATTGCTGTAATTACCTGAAGTTACTAAGTGGACGGAATTAGCTTACTGTGCTTCCAAACGAATTCCACAGATATCTGCAAATACCAGGTGCACTTACCGGGCGGCGAGATTCAGTTTTTCCTGCTCATTTCTGTGTTGTTTCACATTAGTTTCTTTCATTCTCGTGCATTTATTGCAAAACAGCTGCTGCAGCAGATATCGATATTTGTTTGCCATCCCTAGCATGGTATATAGGTAAGGGCATCGCGCTTACCGCGATTGCTGCCGCAAAAAGCTTGAAAAGCTTACGCTGGAATACTATGAATTGACATCATAAATATTCTCGACACAAATAACGCAAGAGAGAGCGATGATTTTTCCAATTCAATTCATATATTGTGTAAAATATATCGATGTACCCGCCAAACGAACACTCATCGATGTTTCACTGCCATCCCTTGCCTGCTCTCTTTTTACTTGACGCAAACGAAAGAGAGAGCGGAAAAGAGAGGTTGAATTTATTGGTCCGCGCGGTTGCTGCAGTCGTGCCGCGGGCGTTTTTTGTTTTTGTTAGAATATTCAAAATGAAGAAACAATAAACGATATTTTAGTGCATTAACAAACTCGTATGGAGATACGTTAAGTGAAAATTAGCAACAAATCAGCAAAGTGCAAAAGAACAGTGCGAAGGTGCGAAAAATTCCTCGTACAGCATCCTTTTAGCTGCTGCTTCTTCTACTTCTCATCTTGTGCATTCCTTTTCGCCTGCGTTTGCGTGTGTGCGTGTCCTCCAGCTTGGATGTGGGCATGCTCCCGCCTACCACCACCCTATCCAGCCTCAAGAAATCGTAAATTATTTTAGTGCTGCCAATAAATTGATGCCAAAATCTAATCGGAGCTCGCGCGCATGATACCTGCTGTTCTCGAACGGTGGGTATCCAACGGTGTTTCGGTTAACTGTTACGCTTACTGTAACTGTAACTCTCTCCCCACAAACCCGCGCTGAGGCTGACTTCTGTGTGTGCGTGTCGTGTGAATTTTCACAATTAATTAAAAATGCAAACAGCCTAGGGCACAGCAACGAAACAACAAAAACAGCACCCCTGTGCTCTCAATTTGAATTCCTTTCTTTTGTCTGGCGTGTCCTTGCCCTCATACGGGTGTGTGTATATGTGTGAAACTGAGAGGATTACAACTGAATTTGATGTGCCAACAACAAGAGAGAAAAGAACAGGCGTTTACAACAACAGCAACACAGGTAAGGGTCTGATTAGAACTAAGCAATCCGGCATTCTGCTTCTGCGTCTGCCCTCGCTCTTTGACCAAAATTGAGCAACACCTTTTGTTTATTCACGTTCCGACTAGTACTTAAACGCCTCAAGTTTCTTATCACACGACCCCGCCGCCTGTCGAGCATCATCGAGGGCCCATTGTTGTATTGTGTCCGCCCCCGCGGTCGCGTCTCTTTGCTTTTACTCTCTCTCTTTTTTGGCCCCATCGTTTATTGTTGTTGCTGCTGCTGCGCTTCCTTGGTGGAATTTGTACTCTTGCTCTTTCCCGTACTTTTAACTTTGGCACCGGCTCGCGTTCCCTCTCCCTCTCGTTTGCTCTTGTCTTCTTTTTTGTGTTTTTTTTTTTTGCATGTGGCTGTCGTCGTCGTCGTCACAGGCGTCGCATGGATTGACCTTGAACAAGTTCAGGCACAGTGGCACGCATGCTTATTCTTGTTGTCTCTGCGCGCTGTGACTGTTCCTTGGCCTTGGCTGCAGCTGCCTTTGGCCTGGCTCCACTGTAACACCCACTGTAAACCCCTCTCTCGATCACCCACTTAAACAGGCGGTAAATGGCGGCGGTGTGGAGTGTGTTTGCTTGGCTCCCACATATGCGTATGCGTATGCGTTTTCATGTGTATTTATCATTCACTCCTCAATATGTCACAATTTCAATCAATTTGTGTGTGTGCGTGTGTTTTATATTGTACATATGTACATATATATTCGCACCAAAAACGCTATAATTTTCTATCACATGGTCTCTGGCACCTAAAGCTTTGCTTTTTTCTGGTTAGCAGCAGCTTCCGTGCTAGGCTCCCACTCCCTCTCTCGCTCGCTATCTCTCGCACTCGCACTCGCACTCACACTCACACTCGCTCTCTTCAAATATATTTTGGAATTTTTTCACTTAATCCCCTGCTTTTGCTTTTGCTTTTGCCTCTGCTTTGGCTACTGCTCTTCTTCTGCCACTGCCTCTGCCTCTCCCTCTGCTCTTCTTCGACTGCTTATGCTCTTCTGGCCCACCCCACTGATATCTGGCCAAACGGTGGGACCACCAGACGGCGGCAGTTTTATTAGCGCGTACAGTGACCCCTGCGCGTACCAGCCGCTCGACAGCACGTCTGCCTACGTCACAGGCCTAAGCTTTGGCTTTGGCTTTGGCTTTGGCTTTCTCTTTTGCCGCCTTATACTGCAGCGGGCATGCGGGCGACATCTCAAACGTACACTTAGATACCCTGCCGACACTCTTTCACTCTTTCACTCTTTAAACTTACCACGATCACTTAAGAGCGTTCTCTGAAAAGAGAGCGACTCATAGGTAATACTGCCTGCAGGGCAGAACAAGATAGCATGATCCTAGGCTACAAATGGCAGTGCTCTCATGATGAAAAAAACGGAACATTCGATTAGCAAAGACTCTCAAAGCTCTCTTTCTATTTCAATTCCTATTTCTAGGAATGCTAGGGCATTCAAAATTCAGCAACGCTTGCTTTTATTTGCATTTTTCTTTTGAAATGCGAACGTTGCTGCGATTTTTAATAGTAAATAAAGCTTAATCAGCAATTAGCGCTAGACGACTAGACGACTGACAGCCAACGGCAACACACTCTCCATATGCACGATTGCGATTGGTGATAGCCCTAAAGCCCTAGGTCTTGAGAAATTTAAATTTTTAAACACTTAATGAAGTGCTAGATCAATGGCTGGTTGCCACAGTGCCCCAGATTACAATTTATTAAGTAGAAAAGCACAGATAAATACTACAAATTCCTCATTGCTTCCTTATTATTTCTTATTATAACTATGCAAATTCCATAATTGTCTTAACATATTTATAGAATGTCGGAACGCTGGCATTTTCTTCTTTCTGTTCATTTTGTTTACACTTCTCGGCAATTCCCTCAAGAAAGCCTCAACTTCCATGCACAAAAAAATAAATACAAAAAGAACACTGACCCAATCAAATTCTTCAATTCTGAATAATGAGCATATCAGCATAAAAATGCATACATGCATATTAATATATGCATATATTCTGATATCTGAACATTTGCATATCTGGAGGCGATTGTGAGTCATCCATAGCCTGCGGCTCAAATTTTTATTCCGCAATCACTTCTCTGCCGCCTGCCGCCTGCCAATTATTTCCATATTGTTTTTTTTTGTATTTAATTTTCCTTTCTTTATGGAGGAGATAGACAAATATTAGAGTCCCCAGTCCCGTGTCGCCACTTCCCTCCCCTGCTACCCATCTGGATGGTGCGTGCATGGAACTCGTTTTGGCCACGGGTTCAGCGGCAGACTGGTCATTGGCTTGCGACTGTGCGACTGTGCGACTAGACCCGTGAAAAAACTCGTAATTAAATTTTCATTCGCAGCTCAAGGAAAAGGAAAAGTTAAAGGTATTATTCATAAAATATTAAGCGTGTGGCAGGGAGTGACCGGCCGAGCCGAGCGACCAACCCTGGACGTACCCTGGATAAACTTTTCCACTTGGGTGTGGCCTTGCTTCCTTCATCATCATTATCATCCACTTTCATGATCATCATCATCCCCCACTTTTGTTGACTTTCGTTGTATATTTTTTTGCATTTTCCCCCCCTATTTTCCCAGTGCCTTTTAATTGGCAATTTATTGTGGCGCCACCAGTCGGGGTTTTGTCATTGAGTAAGTCCGTCAGTCCGACAGTCGGTCACTCCACCAGTCTGTCAATCTTTTGCTCTTCTCTCTCCTCTCCCGTCAATCAAGTGAAATGCATTTGTATTTTCTTCACTCTCTCTAATGCCTCCTTCTCCTGCTGCTGCCTGTCCTTGCTGTCTGTCCCCGCTGCCTCTCCTGCTGCCTTTTCCTCATATTTCCAGACAGGACACCGCCTGGCCCGAGCCTTGGGGCATCCGTTTTGTGGGAGGGGCGGGGCCTTATGAGTAATGTTCTTTATGGAAACTGAAATACACAGCAACAAAAAAACCCATCAGGAATCTACAGAGCAAGAGTTAATTATGGTTTTTGTGGGGTGTACACTGAGAGAAAAAGCACCTCCAAACAGGTTGATGATTGAAATATCTCAAGGGCGGAGAATCTCGAAGGAGCTGGGATCAAACCATCCACCGAATATCTTTCCTGGTTCCTTTGACTGCTCATTCAGTTCGCTGAATTTCTTCCAGTGTGTGGCCAGACCAGAACGGAACCAGTCGTAGGCTTGTGGGGCAGATTGCATCCGTTGTTGTCGGTTGTTTGTTGTGGGGGGATCTGTGTTGTGGGATGTTTAACAAGTTTGCATCTTATTGCATTGCCATCCACGCGCACAGATACACAGATACACAGATACCCTCGCTAAATATCTGGTCTGTCTGGCATCGTTATTTATGTAGTATTTCCCTCCCAACAAGAACCGTAAAACGTTTCCATCGGAATGGGAATCGTGGGGGAATTCCGTGTTTCCCTATTCTGTCTGACATTTTTCACAGCATGCTGTTGGCATCCTGGGCCTCGTGTCTGGTTTCTCCTTCATTTTTCCCCCGACTTCCCTCTTAATCTGCGAAAGAGGACTCCTTTAAACCGCTGCCAAAACTGCCGACTCTGCTGACTCACATTTCTCGAGAGTACACACCCACAACCCGACATCTGGGACATGTCTGGATATTTATATATATGTATGTGTGTATGTTGGTGAATGCATATATTTGTGGCATGCACGATGGGGCATGTGTGGCAAGCATGAGAGAGACATTTGTCTCGCCGTTCCTCGGCCTAATGGTTGCACACTCTTGACTCCCATTCGGCGGACGGGGGAAGTGACAGGATGTTAAGTGGGCCTTTGAATGCGGCCCTCACTTGAGATCTTGAGCCTCTGACACATATACTCGTATTCCTTTGCTTCATGGATATAGCATTCATTTCAACGCTGCCGACCATTTGTTCAGCGATTGTTTATAGAACCACAAACAATACCCCCGCGTCATATCAATAACAAATCGTTGTTGCCTCCCCGTCCATCTGTGATGCATTCAAATGAATTGTAATTGTTTGATTTTAAAGCGTTTCAAGGGTTCGGGTGGCGATTATTCATAGAAGAATATGATAATCTCTCTGGGAATAAATGGGGAGCTTTTGGGAAGTGTAATGCTTAAAGATAGTTAGGGCTAAGGCTAAGGCTATACTAGATTTTGGATTCTAGATTCTGGTTATGGTTCCATATGACATTTAAATGAAATTCCAGCTCCCCGTTCTCCAATAAAGGTTGCCGCTCTCCATAGTTCTCAACTGCTTGACCTTTTCAATTGAAGAATGCAGTGCTTGCGATTTTTAATGAACTGCTTGCTGTTTTTTTTTCCACGATCATGGCTCTTGGATCTTTATTTAACCCCCATGGAGTTACCCATCAATTGAATAAAATTGCATGTCCTCCATTCAGCAAGCAGTACAGTGTAAAAGAAGTATAAACAGTGTATTAGTCCTAGAGGCAGTCCCGTTTTCACACTCGTATCATAAAAGATGTTTTCGCATACCCTGTAGGCTTTCCAATTCGATTGAGAATAATATATATATTTAGAAGGCAGTACAAGTTTACAGTTCAGAAATGGTACAACTTAGAATTAGATAGCGTGAACATGCACATCCACACGGGCTTTTAATTCAATTGAGACAACATTCTATACTAACATATTTGCTCTACTCCATTTAACAAGCAGTGCAACACTTTTGGTGATACGTGATAAGCAGTTAATTAACATAAGTAAAAAGCAGTGTAATATCCCAAGAAGCAGTGGATATATGTAATTCAGAAACAGTAATTCTGAGAATCCGTCGAACACATCAACACTTGGTTTCGTCTTTTTTCCATGTAATGTATGTTTTTCCATGAATTTTGTATATATTTCTACTTAATATATTATTTATAGAACTAAACAGCTGTGCAGTATAAAGAAAAATAGTTGGATTACATCAACAAATGTAATGGAAAATTACATATTACCAATTAACAATTACCAATTCCCATCAACCGGTTTCACAGTCATTCCAGCCATCCAGCCAAAGCTGGCAGTAGCTTAAGAGCGCAAGAGCTTATAAAAGCCATCTTAATGCCAGACCACACACACACACACACACACACACACACACATCGTTATCAATGGGATATGTGTATTGGTGGGTAGGGCAGGGGGGGGGGGGTGGGGGGGGGGGGGTTCCAATATCATGTCATTGTATTTTGTAGTTTGTTTATTTTGTGTGTGAGATTTTTGCACACTGTTTTCTGTTTTGTGCTTCTGTTTGTGTTCCGATTCGCTGTTTGCTAATTGACGGAGACTCTAAAGTGCCACTCGAACGTAGTATCCCTCCCCTAAATACAGATACTATAGATATGTGTGTAAACCAGTTAATACTTAATATTTGCAACTACTACATCTGTAACTGTATATTTTCGGGGTCAGTATCTGGCAGTTTTCGTGGCTGCAATTGATAGCAATTACCATATGAAAAAGCCACTTGAAATATCATTACTCCACCCATTCCCCATGTGAAAGTCTGCCTGCCCCTGCCATTCAGTAATACGAATATATATACTATACCTCTGCTGTAGTGGCGGGTAGGAGCGAAGAAGGAGAGACATTGCATTGTATCTAAAGTGAGAGACAACCTGACAAGCATTCAAAAGTGTTTTTGGGCAGCAGCCAAAAGTTTTCGCGCTGCCTGCTGCCTGCTGCCTACTGCCTGGCATTCAATCGAAAGCCACATGGGGCAGGGGCAGGGGCACGTCGTCTGCTGGTGCTGCTGCCTGGTGTGTGCAGTGTCTGTAACTAATCAAAAGCCTCGATAAACAATAGAAGACGACTGCAGGCAGGCAAACAAGCAGGCGATTCCTTTGTTGCCGGCTGCAGGCTGCCGGCTTCTGCCTTCTCGACCGCGATAAAATTTAACCTTCGACTTGAAAAACGTTGTTTTCGGGCCTGTTGGCTGTTGGCATTTTATCGACTGCAAAATGCCAGCAAATGGCGGACGTACCACAACGGGGCTGACACACCATTCGGATGCCCCTCGACGCCGCAGACCCCCTCCTTCGCCACTGTCTGTGTTTTGGTCTCGTACTGGGGCCTCTAGTGCACTTTTGCGAGAGAGTTGGCAGGAAAATGAGGGACATTCGATGCAGCTTGAGGGAGATTTATATGAGAGACTTCTAGAAAAACAATTGACACACGATAACATATGAAAACCGATCCATTTTGAACGACAAAACCAAAGATTTCTAAGGATATTTCTTGGTTTCTAAGCACACAATCAGTCGAATAAATGTATCTATTTTGCTCTTTAAAGGAGTTGAAGATCTTCGTAGCTTTCTTCTGCTATAAACCAACCGCTGTGGCAACCACCGCTCGTCTCAGCACCAGGAGCCTACGGCAGAAGTTTATTTTGTTGCATTTGCCCCACCGCCGCCCTTGGAAGTTGCAGTTTTTGCATGGCCCTGGGGGAACGAGCCAGCGAGCGAGCGCTGGCAAAGGTCAAAGGTTCACCTGTAATTAGTTTCTTTTTTTTTCTTTTCGCATATCTTGAGGCAGGTCTCATCCATCACTCCACACACCATGCCACTGCGCCCTGCCACACTCCACTCTATGGCCGTACTCTGTTCGATAAAGGAGCTCTGATCCCTGAGCCCTGCTGCTGCTGCTTCTGCTGCTGCTGTTGAACCATTGCGTGCCTGGTCCTGCCTTAGGGGCAACCCTCCAACAGAAGTTGCACGACCAGAAGCAGAAAGAGGAGGCACGGAAGCAACAGCGGAGGAACAGCAGAACTGTGTCCGAAGGGACCCTGCAAGGGGTGGGTGGCAGGGGCAAGGGCAGGGTGGTACTCCGGTAACAACCCTTTTGCATTATTAACCATGTCTATATGAAATTATTATTGGACTCTGGCGAACACCGAACGAATTTACATGAATATAAAATGTTTATTAACATTTCGTGTTTAAGACCGTAGACGGTTTCGCTCGTTTTTTTCCGCTTTTTCTTCTTCTTCTATTTTTTTTTTTTTTTTTTTTTTGGCTTTTTTATGCCCGCATTTCAGTGGCCTCCAAGCCTCATGGTTTATGGTTTATGGTGTGTGGAGCGTTCTGCTGATGATGATGATGGTGATGATTTTTCGGAAGGCTTATCTAATTCCCCTGTTGATAAGGAGCAATCGATCACCCCTCCGTCGCATCCGCTTATCAAGAGGCTATCTTATCGTTGGAGAGGCATTCGACATTTATCAATAGAAGGTTGCCCTTTTCTGGGGCAAGAAAATGTGGTGGCACCACGTGCTGCCCGCCCATGGGCTTTGAACATTTCAATTATGTTGCAAGCAGCTAGCAGCGAGCACCAAGGTGCTGCAACTACGTGACTGGAAGAAAGGGAAGCCTCCTCTGGCTCTGGCTCTGGCTATGGAGTGGAGTGCAGTGGCGGTGGCACGTAGACCTGGTGGAGCAGTCTATCTATCGACGGACATGTGCACGAGTGCCTCTTCCGGCTGCCTTTTAAAGATATATATATATATATATATATATACATATATATGTACGTATCGTACGTGCACCATTAAAAGTGGATAAAGAAAACCTTAAAAAAAAAAAATGAATTAAATTATGACCGGTGGCGGTTCAATGGACTCTGCCGGTGCCTCGCTCCTTTGTGTCTGAATATACGCTATCTTTGATTGCAATATTGATTGAGTGAATATTTGCCCACTGTTTTAGCTTCTGTCTGAAATAAGATTTATTTGCACAAGGGTTTCCGCCACAAAAACCCTCAAAGTGCACTGCAAACAAAGTACAGCCATGTTTTCGATTGATATTTAATGACAATACGGATGTCAACGGGAGGTACCCGTGTACGCACAAGCGATTGTATGTTGCTGTAATGTTTTGTCGCTTATCAATGGAATGCCTACATCCAAGATAATATAAATTATCGTTCTGCGTTTGCAGAAAGGGAGAGAGGGCCTGGCAAGTTACGACGATAATTCGATGTTTTTAGCTCCTATTATCGATTGCACAGCGATTAATGGTGCAATCTGCTTGCTCTCCCGCAGTAGGACGTTCTCGAGCTATGTTCCACGAGCTTCTTGAATGCCTCTCTCAATCTCATTCTTATTTTCATTGTCAAGCTGCTGATCAATATTGTGTATCCATCTATCATCCATGTGTCAGAGATCTACGAAATGTACGTTCTCGATGACATTTAGTATCTAGAATCTATTAATGTTTTGTCCGATCAATTACGTGGGCTTGTGCTTCCATCCCCTCTCTATGACACCCTCTATATCTACTTGTAGTGCAGGTCCGGTGCTTTTCCTGTCCAAACTATCTGCGAGGCTTCGGAACTCAATTAAAAGCTTCCAATGCACTTAAAATCAGTTGAGAGTACTTACAGGTAATTTACAGTTGATTTGTGCTGGCAAATAGGTTTATGGCACTGCCTTACCGATAAGGAAACACTTTCTAATCAGGGTGTTCTCCGAATCCGACGTCATCGACATCGATATCGACAACGATTCAGTGGCCGATGGCAAAGCGAATATTTGTTGTTTCTGTTTTTGTTTGTGCTGCTGGAAAAAAAGTCAAACATTTCAAGTTATCTGCAAAACGTAGATTGTGCAGAATTTGCGTTGAAATTAACGAATATTGTGGCCAAAATAGGTGGCCTTTCGTGATGGCTTTTCAGTTTAGCTTGTGACCCGCTAGGGAATCCATCAGGTGTGCGGTCTCCTTCCGTGTGCCTTCCTCCTGAATTAATTATGTCCCAGGTGCGTTTGTTCGAGGGGATTCCGTGCATCGATTCCATGACGTTGTCAAATATTGGCTCTAAGGGATGACACGACCCGACCCATCAAATGGGGGTGGTCATCCGCTGACAGAGGTCATCCGACCTGTTGACACCATATCGTACATCGGACATCGTACATCGGACATCGTACACCGCATCGCAGCCGAAAGCAATTTAGGAAATTGAACTGCTTTGTAGTGGCGAGGGTCCAATCAATTATACTAATTGCTGATTCTGATATCGCATTTGCTGCTATCGCAGCTGATTGGGTGCTTCCTTTGGGGGTTACTTTAATTTTTGTTGCTGTATTAACCCTAAACCTTTCTGCCATTTACCTATGCCGTTGCAGTCGCCACTTGGAGTACCAATTAAATGGCAAAGCCACGCAGAAAACGCTTCCGTTTGAGTCTGTGTCGACGTCCACGTTACAGCAAGCACAAGATCCATGCCACAAAATAAGCAAAAGCCACAGCAGCAGCATCAGAAACGTTCCGCAAATAGCAACAGCAACAGCAACAGCCATTGGAGCCACAGGAGCAGTAGCAGTAGCAGTAGCATGATGGATAAACGATCCCTCTGCCTGCTGGTCATCTGCGTGAATCTCTGTCTCGTGATCTGGCTGGTGAGCGTGCAACAGCCACAGATGCTGGAGACAGAGGCCCCAGCCTCAGCAGCAGCCCTGACAGCAGAGAAGGATGTGGATGTGAGCAGCGAAACAGAGGAGTCGCCGCCAACGCCGCCGCCACCATGTGGCAAAGAAAGAATCGGGAGAGAAAGCAGGAGCTGGAGCAGGAGTTGGAGCAGGAGCTGGAGCAGCAAACCAAACCAAATACACGACACCCCTAGTCGCATCCCTAGTTATAACGATAGTTTAGATCTAAGTCTGACTTCCCAGGCGGCGGCACCGCGAACACCCGCGCCCCAGGTCTTCACCAATCTGATGGATCTGCACAATTTCGCGTATCTGATGAATCAGCCGCCCTGCGATGCCCGTGTCCAGGCCTTGATTCTCGTGCACACCTCGCCTTACAACCACCAGAAGCGGGCGCTCATCCGACAGACGTGGGCCGAGAAAAAGTACATCGAGAGGACACCCCTGAGGGTAATCTTCCTGCTGGCGGACGTGTGGCACGAGCGGCCCAGCTGGCAGCACTTCTTGGACCAGGAGAACGCCAAGAACGGGGACATGGTGCAGGGGAACTTCAAGGACGACTACCGGAACATGACCTACAAACATGTGATGGCCCTCAAGTGGTTCAACGAGAACTGCCCCCAGGCCCAGCTGCTGGTCAAAGTGGACGACGATGTGTACATGAATACGCCGCAGTTGGTCAAATACCTGAAGGATCCCACGCGGGCAGAGCACGACCTGCTGCTAGACCCCAACCTGCTGCTCTGCAGGCCCGTCAAGGCCCCAAGGGTTAAGCGATCCTATCGCGTGAGTAGGGGAGGAGATGCCCTTGTCTTTCTTTGGGAGCGATTCCAGAACTAATGTGTTTTTTTTGTTATGTTATTTTTCCAGTCCAAATGGCGGGTGACGTACAAAGAGTACCCGTATCGATATTATCCGGACTATTGTCCAGGATTCGCCATCGTCTACGCCCCAGATGTGGCGCGGCGGCTGTTCAAGGCCGCGCAAAAGGCCAAATACTTTTGGGTGGACGATGCCCTCATCACCGGCGTCCTGGCCAAGGAGACGCACACAAAGATCACCAGCCTGCAGCATGTGATTGGCAAAACGGACACCATGCAGCTGATTGCCGGACAGATTGGCTTCGACTACAAGGAGTTCCTCTTTGCCTTCCATGGCATCCAGCCGCACATGTGCAACAGCCTGTGGGATCTCACTGTGGAGACCAATTACACGTTGGAGACGTCTCCATCGTCCTCTTCAGCTGCTTCCTCCTCCCCTGCGCTCAGTGCGAATACCTCCGTCATGAGCACGGGCCTTAGTTAGTTTTAATCTCGGCTTAGTCTCGATTCGCGTTTAATTTCGTTATGGCTGTTCAGTTCTTAGGGTTTCCCTTGTAAGTCTCTCTAAGTTTTAAGTTTGATTTTTTTGTTTAGCTATTATAATTATTAGTCGATTAGTTATATAGTTAATGTTTAGGTAGCATTTTGTCATGGAACATGAGAAGCAGAGGAGGATTTGGAGGAGAACGGAAACGGAAACAGAAACAGAAGCCGAACAAAGTCAAGTGAAACCACCACCCAACCACCTGCCTACAATCATTCGTATCATACGAGTATAAGCTAAGCGATTATACAGATATAGTCATACGCAAGGGAGTGCCGTGCTGTGCCGTGCCGCCTCCTGGTGATAAGAAGAAGCCACTCTCGGACAAGTCGAAACAGCAACAGATAATAGCAGCCACAAAATGCGATTACCTTAAGCACAACTATTTTTAAGTCGTAAGAAGACGAATGCAAATGCAACACAAAACACCATAGTACTTAACGAACCATACAAAACAGAAGAGAACATAACAGAACAGAACAGAACAGAACAGAAGAGATGCTGGGAGTGCTTCGAAGGTGAACGATGAATCCCAAACCAAATAATGAGCAGTGTGTGAAAGGAAAGGACGTACAGAATACTCTCGATACGGGGGAGGGGAGAACGAGGAGTGATGCGATGCTTCAACTATTTTTTCTATTGTGTAAACATTTTTATAGCCCATCATCTCTTTCGCTCTCTCTCTATTAATGTATCGATACGATCTGATAAATATACACCGTAAATAAAATAGAATAAACAACAAAACGCAGTATAAACAACATAAGAGGGAACATGTACGTACGAATATCAAAAGCAAAAGCAAACACAGAATGAACGAACGAAAAATGTAACAAATGAAATTTATAAATGTGTAATGTGAAAATTAATTAAATGTTCAAGTTTGTCAGAAATTATATTGAAAAATCATTACAAAATACAAAATAATACATAAAGTCGGAAAGTTCGTTGTTTTCTATATGTGAATTTCCCATTTAAATGCACTGCTTGAATGCAACCGCCAGCAAGCAGGCATGCCGCTGCTAATTTGTACTTATTTTGAATTTAAATGCACTGCTTTTACTGTAACACCAAGAAACCAATCTGAATGCACTGTTTGAAATAACTGCCATCAAACAAAGCAGTATAAATCGCGGGCTGTTTTTTTTTATTCTTAATTTCAAATTTGAATGCACTGCTTGCACTGTAACAGCAAGCAAGCAGCAGAAGTCTCAGGCCGTACGCGATAATGCTTGATGCACGGCTTTCACTTGAACAGCCAGCAAGAATGGTTTTGAATTAAACTTCACTGATTTCACTGTAAAACCAAGAATTAAGTGTTCACTGCTTGAATGTAACCGCCAGAAAGCAGGACAAGTAAAAGCTTTGTAACCGCCGGAAAGCAGTGCAAGTAAAAGCACAGCCAGTAAGCAGTGTGCAGTGCGAGAGCAGCGACAACTATACACATACCAAATGAAATGGCATAGCAGGCAGCTTTGGGCGGGCCACAGAAACTAAAATATTTGGCTAGAATATCGATGATGGCCAATTTAATGCATAAACAAAATTCTGTTAATATTTGAAGCCGTTTCTACACACCTTTGTCATATATTTTTGCACACGATACCGCATGACGTACGTACCTTTAATAATTTTACTGATTGTCCGTCGCTAAATGGCGGCCCCGTAAATAATTCAATGCGGGTCCTGGAACCAAAACCACATTTCAGCAGCTGCGCTCAAGGATATTTAAAAAAATGTTCTATACGGCCACGTTGCCACACGTTGAACAAACATAAAATTACGCTGAATTTCAATTTAAAGTTCCAGCTCGTGGCCCTAATAATCATTGCAGAAGGCAGCGAACGGCAGGGCAGGGTAGGTCAGAGGGGAGTGTATGGGAATGATAAGTGTGCAAATGACAAAGAATTTTTTTTTTGTTCTGTTCCCACGTTGACTATTGGCTTTGGCATTGGCTGGGGTGATCAGTGGCAGAAGGAACATATGCGGGGCCAGAAGGAACCTCTGCGTGTGGCTGGCTGGGTGGTAAAAAGGGCCCCACGATGACGTGTGTCGTGGGAGCAGCCAATTGCCAGCCAATTGTTGCATTAAGGCCACAACCTAGCACTTGGCTGTCCCGGCATTCGATGATTAGTGTGTCCCGACTGGCCAAAGCGTGCGGTCATAGTTCAACTTGAGAACCCTTGCTACCAAACTCCTCCATCGATGGCAGAAATCGAAATGGGCTCGGTAAGTCAACAAATGAAAGCCCTTTGAAATTCTTTGGGGAACTGAATCGATGTAAAGCCGTTGTTTGTGAGTTTTTTGTTGGTTTTTTTTTGCGGGGAAGGTCTCCCCGTGATAGTTACTAATTGACTGGCAGCAATCGTTGGAAAAGCATTCTACATAGATCTGTGCACTATTCCTTTGATTCCTTGGAATCCAAAGATCGGCAGCAAGTACCCTTTCGATGACTTCTGAAAAACAATTGAGTCAACCAGAAACATATCCTCCAGCAGCCAGCAGAGGAAGCAGCCAAAGGGAACTGCCAGTAGAAGAGCCGGCGGAGAGCTCTCCAGCTCTTCTTTTAAGTGGCACCGCCTTCGTTAGCTGCAAATTATTTACAAGTGCATGCAAAACAACAAAACAACATGCAACATGCAACGCACACAACAGGCACTCGCACTCGCACTCGCACTCGGAATCGCAATCGTACTCGCATTCGTACTCTCCATTCCACTCCACCCCCGCTTGTTGTGCCTCCCCCACTCAGGCGCACAACTCCAGTCAGAAAATGGCATCCACAGACAGCAGCGGCGATTGGATGCTGTTTTCAGTGTTGTGTTGGCTCCAAGCTCCAAAAGCAACTTCAAATCTGTGTCAAGTCGAGGGGGTACATACAGCGGGAGAGAGCGAAAGCCCGAGTGATGCGAAGAGGAGTCGAGTCGCCTGCCCCTGCGAGGAGCGCGCCGGCGCTTCACCAAAATGTGCCACACATTTGAGGAGGCCAGGCTTCCTTTTTTTATCGGTCGTCGCCCATTGATGGAATGGATGCTGCCACAGCCACAGCCACAGCCACTGTTGCCGTTGCCCCTGCCACTGCCTCTGTCACTGCCTCTCTGTTTTGGCTCTCGGCTCCTCGGCAGCTGTCGAACCTCCTGTGGCTAGTTTTTAGAACATCATCCTCGTCGCTCGTTCGGGCCCTGGTGCTGTTGGCCTGGCTATAAATGTTTTGTTTTTCTGCAGTTTGTTGTTAGTGCTGAACGGCGAACGGGCAGCGTTTGGTTGCCGGAGACTCTGAGAGACGACACACTGCAGCAGTAGCGGTGGCATCGAAGGAGACATCGTCATTTTGGCCACAAGCCCACGACAAGAATACTGTGGCTTCAGCTTCAGCTTCATCTTCAGCACTCCATTTCTATCCACTTTGGTCTTGGTCTTGGTCCTTATCTTAGCCAATTCAGACTGTGTGTGGGTTTTCGTGTGTTTTTTGCTGTGTTCTTGTGTATGTGTGAAAGTGTGAGAGCCGTCAAATCAAGTGCCAAGTGACCAGAAACACCTCCCCCGTATGCCCCCCTTAAGGGCCGGACAATCACCAAAGACAACAAACGGAAAGTGCAAAAAACGAATTAAGATTAAGGGGCGATCGCCGGGGGCTGGTACTCCCAAACCGGAAACGGAAACGAAACAAACGAATTTTACGACACAACAAGCAAACAAAAAAGAAGAGAAAAACTACTAAAACAACAGGTGTTCTGGCTTTAACATTTTTGGGGACAAAAGGAGGAAATATTTTTTGGGAATTTTCGAAAACGAATTAGTGAAAAAAAAAAACATTCCAAGAGAATTTCATGCGTGCCAAAGAGTCTCTTTCGATTAGTATGTGTATGCGTATAGCTCCTTGATAGTGTGAGTAAGAGTAGTGTGTGTGTGCGTTTGTGTGTGTGTAGGTGTATGTTTCACTGTGTGTAATTGGTGTGCTCTCGAGCGCACGTGCAGCGAAGATGGTCGAGGAATTTCTGGAGAAGTTGCCCGAAATCGACACACGATACGAGGTGAGTGCCCGCCCCCCTTCCCCTCCTCTACAGCTTATACAGCTTATACACCTTTACCCTGTAGCCTGTACCCTCGCTGCCATAGCAATATGGTCCATTTCCCATTGTAATACTCCTCGTACCACAAGGCTCTGTGTGTGCTCTGTGCTCTCGTTTATTTTTTAATCACATTGCCAGGGCTTTGTTGTGTCCCCCATTGCTGCAACATCCACCTGCTGCTGCTGCTGCTGCCTCTTTGCCTCCCTTTGGCTGCCAAAGCAAATAACCAACGGCGGCTTTTGTTTTTAGCCCAAGCACCTGGCCAACATCCTGGCAAGCAGGCAAGCTGGCAGGCAGGCAAGCAGGCAGGCAAGGCAGCCTTCCTGCTGTTTGTTCTTGTGTTCAAATTACATTTCCCTACACACGAATTCGCATTATGCCGAGCACAGACAGCAGCGGGAGATGCCGGATATTTAATCAGTTCTGCTGTCTATCTGTCTGTCTGTTGCTGCAACATGCTGCACTTGGACGGCACTCGTTTTCCCCAGTGGAGACCCACCTGAGGCGCACACACACACACAGAATCCTTTGTCCCTAAGCTTTTTCTCCAAATATTTGTTTTACCGTTGACTTGGCTACGGATTCCGAGCTTAAGTCCAGGACGGGGTCAACAGCCAGATCTGTGGGCTAGAGAATCCTCAATATACTGTGATATAAAGATATGTTTAAAAGGTATTACAGATGGATTCACATCAAGGATAGGATAGGGAAGGGTTCTAATTATGTCCTCGGATGGGCCAATCCTTCGGCTAATCTTCTGCCACTCATGGTAGACAAGTTTCCCATTACACTTGTTGTTCCGGGCCGGGCCAAGAGCGTGCACACACGCATACACCCAAGAGGGTTCTGGTTCTTGTTCTGGCCAACAACTTGAAAGGCAATTAGCGCACTTTTCCCCGCTGTCTCTCTAGGACTCGGGGCTGGGCTTGGCCTGGCTTAGTGGGGCATGGCTCTGGGCGTTGGCCTACGGGCTTCGGGATTGGGTTCGGGGGTTCATGGCCAACAGTTTAGCGAGCACATTAACTTTATTAGCGCGATACAATTGGGTGGGTAAACACACACTAACCCTCGCTGAGGAGTCAACACAGTGTGTGTGGGTCTGTGTGTTTGTGTAGATAATTATGCGGCACACACAGTGCGAACAATAGCCCTTTATGCCCCACAAAACAAGCCGCAGACAATGGCTCGAGGAAAAACTAATAAACAAGAACTGAGACATCACACATGCACAGGACACGACCGTCACCGTCACCGTCAACGCTATTCGCCATCGCCATCGCCATCGCCATTGCGATCAATAAAAATTAATTATTCAATATACTTTTACTTGTACATTCTCGTAGTATAGGGCTACATGCCATCCGCGTTTCCTTCACACTAATCTCACCCAATGGCTTATTTATGGCCCCATCTGCCCCATCCCATATGTGGTGCGGTTGCGTGTGCGGCGGCACATCCTGTGGCATAGGCCTATCCTTTTGTGTGCGACTTCCAGTTGCGGTTGTCAGTTGTCCTCGTCGTGGTCGTGGCCGTGTTCTCGCAACAGTATACATCCGTTAATTTGCATGACAAAGTAGACCCGAACAGTCCAACGCCAGGAACTCAGGAGCCTATATTCCAGAAGTCAACAGCCAGCAGCCATCAGCCAGAAACCAGAACCCAGGGATATCCAGGAAAAGCAACGCGCGGGCAGGCAGCAAAGATGGGGCCAATGGTAAGGGGGCCACGGACAGACAAGTAAATGAAAATGTTTACAGTTACACAGGCAATTCAAACCGAAA